TGGGTCTATTTCTGGGGTCTCTGTTCTGTTCCATTGATCTATATGCCTGTTGTTGTACCAATACCAGGCCGTTTTGATTACAGTGGCTTTGTAGTACAGTTTGAAGTCTGGTAATATGATCCCTCCCACTCTGTCCTTTTTTCAAGATGGCTGCAGCTATTCGGGGTCTTTTTTGGTTCCATACAAATTTTTGAAATGTTTNGGGTCTTTTTTGGTTCCATATAAATTTTTGAAATGTTTGTTCTAGGTCTGTGAAATATGCTGTTGGTATTTTAATAGGGATTGCATTGAATTCATAAATTGCTTTGGGTAGTATGGACATTTTAATGATATTAATTCTTCCAATCCATGAGCATGGTATCTTCTTCCACTTGTTTAAATCTTCCTCTATTTCTTTTTTCAGTGTCATGTAGTTTTCCAAGTACAGGTCTTTTACATCCTTGGTTAAGTTTATTGCTAGATATCTTATATTTTTAGTTGCAATGGTAAAAGGTATTGCTTTTTTAGTTTCTCTCTCTGAAAGTTCATTGTTGGTGTATAAGAATGCCATTGATTTCCGGATGTTGATTTTGTATCCAGCTACCTTGCCAAATTCGTTTATCAAATCTAGTAGTGCTTTCATGGAGTCTTTAGGGTTTTCTATGTACAATATCATGTCATCTGCAAATAATGACAGTTTTACTTCCTCCTTTCCAATCTGGATGCATTTTATGTTTTCTTCCTGTCTGAGCCTGGGTTTTAAAAGTTTATATTTCTTAGACCCAAGAAAAGGTCTGCAGTCTTAGGTATCTCTTCAATATTTAAGAAAACATTGATCTGACCTGCTGCCTGGAGAAAGTTGCCAAATACAAGGACATCAGGAAGGTAGTGAAGCAGGCATCAGAGGGCCCCCTCAAGGGCATCCTGGCCTATACTGAGGACCAGGTTGTCTCCTGTGACTTGAACAGTGACAAGCACTCTTCCACCTTCAATGCTGGGGCTCTCATTGCCCTCAATGACCACTTTCTCAAGTTCATTTCTTGGTATGACCATCAATTTGGCTACAGCAGCAGGGTGGTGGACCTTATGGTCCACATGGCCTCCAAGGAATAAGAGCCCATAGACTACCAGCCCCAGCTAGAGGAAGCGAGGCCCTTACCTGCTGCAGAATCCTTGCCCCAAATGGATCCCTCGACACACTGAGAATCTCCAGACCTCCGCAGTTTCCATCCCAGACCCTCTGACGAAGGGGAGAACTTAGGAAGCCCTACCTTATCATCAATAAAGGTCACTGTATCCAGCAACCCACCCACCCCCAAAACATTGACTGCTAGGTCCCATTGCTTTGGGTCTTTTGCAATGTCATTTTTTCCTCATAGTGCAGTCCGACAGGACATCTGAGTTAGAATCACCTGGGACATTGCTAAGGCTAGAGATTCCTGGGTCTCATTCCAGATTTCTTCAATCATTGTTTGGGGTACAACCTAGGAATCTTCATCTTTACAAGCTGCTAAGTGATTGTCATGCATACTAAAATTTCAGAAACAGCACCATATAATAAAAATGACCAAGAAGAAAAAATATGTCTAAAAATGACCAGATACATGAATTTAAAATTCTGATAGATTGATGCGAACATTCAAAAGCGAAAACCAAAGCAACTCTCTGAGCTGAAAATATATTCTGGAAAATGCTCTGAATCAACATGCTGATTTGACATTGAGATTTAAAGCAATGCTTTTCAAGTTCACATGCTTTCTCTTACCCTACAGTTTCTGGAAGCAGAACCGAAAAAGACAATCTTTTGATGCATTATTATTTGCACTATTAGATCATTTCCGTTGCCTTTTCCAACACCTGAATGAAAATAAAAAAGTTAGAGTAAAGATAAAAATGTCTCAATAATTAACATTATGAATTAAAAAGAGAGGAAGTCACAGGTAACAACGTATCAATATTGAATCATTTGGGTACGTGAATTTTGTCTTTGAAAGACAAGACTTTAAGCCAATTCTGTCTCAGACTTTATAAGGCTGGAGGAAAGAAAAAAAAAGAGAGTTCAGCTTCTAAACTTTGCCTTTCTAGAAAAAAGAAATTTGGGAAAGTGACTTGCAACCTTTCTTGCTAATGTGTTGCTTTCTTCAAACTTCAAATCATGATGTTTCTTAGTAACAGTCTAAATTGCTCTTTCCCTAGTTCCTAGAGAGTAGTTTCTTGGAAATATAGGATACCCAAACATTCCTGTGGTGTTCAGTATACATTTATAGACAAATGGTTTCTTGTCCCTTTTTTCAGTTTAAATGATCCACTTTTTTAAGCATTTCCTCAAAGGGCTGTTTCTCAAGCCTCCAATAAATTTTTATTGTTCTCTTCTCCACCCTGCATATTTCACTTAAATATGCATAGAACTAAAGGCACAGAACTAAAACAAATATTCTAATAAAGTCATATATTGATCATTCTTGATTATTTACCACATTATTTTTGTTTTGTTTTCATTTAATTTTGTTTCCACTAACACCATATTATTAACTTGTCATTAGGAATCACGGTTTCTTTGCCTCAGTTCCCTCGGTACTCATTCCAGTTGCAAAACTTTCTAATGATGTCTACCAAAAATCAATGAAATACACAATTAAACTAACTCAAATACTTATCACATGATAAGAAAAGGGCATTGATTTACAAGCTTAAATTAATTCCAACACATTTAAAAATTTTTAAATGATTTGAAAATTAAAGGTAAAAAAACATGAAGTGAAAGTCTCTGTCTCACACATCCCACACCTATTTAATTATCCACCCCAAATACATAACCAGTGTTAGATATGAGCAGAGCAAGGACGATAGGCCAGGCACAGAAACTCACCAGGGCAGGAAGCCCCAGATGCCTAACAAGGGGAAAAACTGGGAAAACAAGAACCTTGTCCCCAGGGTAACCTATCCACCCCCAGCAGATTGCTGATCATGTGGTTTAGACCCCCTGACTGTTCATATAGCTAGTCATGCAGTTTAGACCCCCTGAGTGTTCCCTCCCTAAAGATAGCATCTAGGTCTCAGTTGTATTTCAGCTCCAGGCCCAGAAAAGCAGCAAAACCAGACAAGTGGTGCCGTGGCTGCCTCAGGACCAGCTACATTGACTAAGGACCCTCTGCCCTGGCACCGACCAATTAGTGGAGATGACGACCCTGAAAGAGCACACTTGGAAAGCTGATGAATATCCTATTGACACACTGCCCTGAGACCTCCCCTAAGATTTCCACCTGCAAGAAAGAGGCAAATATGCTCTGGACAAAGGGCCCAGCGAGTGTTCCCCACCAGGAACATTCCTTCCCCCTTCCCCCTTCTTCCCTCCGAGGGGACCCCACAAAACTTGCAACCAGGGGAGCAATGAGCAGTGGCAGCTCTTCCCAGGCTAACCCCCTGAACCTGTCTCCAAGGGCCCCTCTCTCTCTGACTTCTCAGTGAGCCAGAGCAGCCCAGCCTGGGCTCTCCTGTTGCTTCTTCTATGATCTTCCTTGTCTCAGTGTCCTAAGTATATTTCTGCTCTCATCATGGACCCGATACCCTTTGGCTCAGTGCTGTGTAGCCCTTCCCTCTGGATATCCCCATCCCCCATCCCCCTTTCCTTAAGTAAATTTAATTTTTCTTCATTTACCATCTGAGATGGGTATTTAGCTTGCCCGTGCACCACCAACCTTAACCTTTCAACCACTATTATTGGTACCTTGTTTTAGGCTTATATAATTAAATATAAATATATATTCTCACACAGGTTTTACCAACACATATACACACAAATATGAATACATATTTATTTCCCCTTTTGTTTTACAGAAATTGTTGCATACCATAGAATTGTCTTGTACCTTGCATTTTTAAAACACGTGTAAGGTACAATATGACTTCTTAAGCCACTAAGTTGGTTTTATGTTTAGGTTTAAATTTCTGAGTGGGAGAAACTGCTCCAACAGCCAACTGTGTTGTCTTACTCACTTTGGAATAAAGCAGTCTAGCTCTGTTTGTAGGGTGCCACTGAGTGTGGAAAGAGGGGGAGCAAGGCACTGCTGTCCCCTCCCATCGCCTGTTGGACAAGCCTGGCTCCACCCTGGGGAGGTCTGGCAAGAGCTAGAGTTCCATTCAGCTTCCCTACAACCCTGCCTCTCATAATTCCCCACATCCCGTGACTCAGTCATGATGGTCTTTTGTTGAGGAATGCCATCTACAAAGCCTTTTCACAAACAGTTGTTTGTTTATATACACAAGCAGCATCCTGCCACCAGACGCTGGATTTCACAGGTCTGTCTGGACAATGCTTGTTTGGAAATCTAGACCAAAATGTCCTGCACAGGCAATGCTACTGAGCTGAAGTTGTTTTCAGAAGTCAGAAAAGTATGTAATCTCTTTGTGGTAATCTATTAAAATTCCTCACTGCCAACAAGAAGTGGTGGTGATATGTTTGTGTGTGTATGGGGGTGGGGTGGGAAGAGATATGTACATAAACTAAAAGAAGTATTTTATATTTTAACTAACAATTTTAATTTATTTTCTGACTATGCAGCTTTATATATTTTTTAAGGACTCTTTTATTTCTGAATAATTGGATGAAATATAAAAAAAATATGTATGTTTAGGTCCTTATTTTGTGTGACTCCTGAGAAGGCTAAACTCACTGGCACCACACCACATGTGAGGGCCCCAGTCTGGCTGCTGCTTTAAGGAACGGAAGCCCTGCCCCTGCTGCAGCTCTATGGGGGAGAGTGAGGCGCAAACCTAGTAACATCCCTTCCACACCAACATGTCCCTGCTTTCCCAGTTCCTCTAAGCATGAGCTGTGCAGGGAAGCGAGGTGGGTGATAGAGAATTAGAGACATGGGACTTGAGGCCAGTTCCTCTCTCCACCTCTTTTCTTTCTAAAGTCCCAGAGAGGGATGACCTGACGAATTTTCCTGCTTCCTTGGGTGATGGTGGATCTAGTCAACTCTTTTGAGGTTTATAAGGATTTTCATTCCTGGTAATAATAATTGGTAACAGTTAGGGGGCTGAAAGATACCCCACTGAGCCCAGGTTTTCCCCCTACTCTTTCTGCATTCATGCAGATTCAGGTAATGAAGACCTGAGTGCTGACTCCAGAAAGCTTTTCTTGACTCCCAGGCTGGACAGTTTCCAGCCTCTTTGTGCCCCCAATGCCATGGTCAGCTCTTTATCTATGTACTCACTCCTCTCCTCTGCCACCACCCAGGGACTCCTAAAAGGCAGCGAAACACTAGCATCGGTCCTGGCCCAAAGCAAGTGTTTGGTAGTTATTTGTAAAAAGAATTTGTAGCAGCAAAATTCCTTTGCAGATCAGGAATTTAAGACATCTTGATGGAGTTGCTGAAGGTGACAGAGCTACATGTGGAAGGGGGGGAAAGGGAGGGAGATCAGGGTGAGGAGAGGGAAGGGATATCTGAAAGGGGTAGATGAAAAAATGATATAGGGATGCCTTTGCCAAGACAAACCTGAACTAGAGGTGGGTGTGAGAAAGAAGTGGTCTCCAGGACTCCCAGGCCCTTTCTCTCTTCTGAATCAGAGGCTGTACTCTAAAAAGTCCACCCCAGGCATCAGTGAAAACAGGAAAAGGGGAGGGGACAGAGCACCCCAAAATGGTGATGGGAAAGGCAAACAGAAGACACCTAAGGGTTAGTAGTACAGCTGCAGCACCGCTGGGCTGATGGCCATTCCAGGGGAAGAGGTTCATATGAGAGGATCTACAACAAGACAGCTCGGAGTTGGGATTCTCTCTCTGTATAAAACTGATCAAAATCCTCCCAAACAGTAAGAACATTGCCTCCTCCCTGCCCAATTCTCCAATAATATTTAAAGCACTTACCATGAATTGAATAAATAACAATTTTTTTAATCATAAGTAGTTTTCTTGGAGGGAGAGCCATGTTATAGATATTTTTCAAATCTGCAAAATATGAAACATACCTATTCTGGAAAAAAACACACAGAAGTCTCAATTTAAGTGAAGATGAAAAGTCTAAAGTCAGCATATCTGATTTTTTTTTTTTTAAACATAGAACTTAAGGAGAGTAATTAATTGAGAACACATTTATTGGGTGCTATTATATAACTATGCATCTTTATGGATGTTGCCTCATGACTGAACAGCTACCTTAAAAAAATGCTGTGGGGAAGAAACAAGAAAGGGGCCAGGTGCTGCTGACAAGCTCCTATGAGAGGGCAGCTAACCCAACAAAACAGCGACATCACAGCAAGATGCAGTTAAGGAGTCATTAAGGATTTTGAGCATGAAACAAATGGGAATAAGTCTGTGTGAGGTTAAAAGCTTTGTTGTGACTTCGTTAAAGGAAAGTAGACTTTAATCTCCTAGGCACGAGAGAGGGCAGATGTAAAAACTCAAGAAGAAGGCCTTCATAGGCCAGTGGTAGATACATAGTCTCTTGTCTCCACCAGCTAGAGTTTCTTCACTTTCCACTTCTCCAGTTTTGTTTTTGCAAGGAAGCCCTGGGAAAACTCTTAGCCTAGTCCTTCCCCTATGGCAGGCTGCTCACTCTTCTTGAAGAGTTCTGGTACTGAATCAACTGGACCAGACAGTTCATAGACTCTTCCCCACCCACTGGGAAGGGCTAATAAAATTAGCTGCCATATTTTCCATCAGAAAGGGCCAATAAAGAGAAAGACTAGTGCAAATTCTTAACTCGGGTGGATTAAGTGTAGTCCATATAGAATGCCAGGAGTTTAGGGTCAGAATGTGATGGTATCTGAGAATTACCACCCCACACAGGAGGAGCTCTGTCCTGGGGCCTGGCCCACACAGCTCTCAAACCTGAGGCCGAGGCCCTGCATCGCTATCCCAGTGAATCAGAAGAGTTTCTGTTGTAGCTAGAGTGTGCCAGTTCTGGAATAAAGTTAGAGAAACTGTGTGCAACTGCAGAAGAAACAGGGAAGGGAAGATGTACAAAAAGAATCCTTGAAGGGGTTACATCGAACACTCCATTGGCTCCTGCCATCAGATTCTCTATCTTCCACTTAAGGCTTGTAACCAAGCATGGCCCTCAAGCTGCTTTGCTGTCACTATTCCTTCCCCTACCACTTAAAACAACAGGGGCCTGCAGCAGGAGTTAATAAAACCAACATATATTTAGTAAGCACTTGCTCCAGAGGAGACACTATATGAGGCACTTTGGGATGCCTAGGGTGGAAAGATGTAAGATACGGGCTTTGCCTGCAAAAGGGGTAGAGAAGACACCATTGCAAATAGCTAGAGAATAATATAAAGTAGCCTCTAAAAGAAACACAAAGGGCTAGAAGAACTGAAAGAACAGGAGACTATTTCAGGCTGGGAAGGGAAAGGGGCCCACATGAGCAATGACCTGTGGGTATAAATGCTGACAGGCTGGGAAACAGCACAAAGCCACATGTATTAGAGTGTGGGACATGAGAACACACACAGTGGAAAGAATGGTTGGAAAATCAAATCATAGATCTTGAGTGCCAGGTTAAAATACTTGTATTTGTTGCCAGTGGCAGTCAGAAGCCATTATGGATTTTGAGCATGGGAATGGCATGATTCAAGCTGAACTGGGCTTCAGTAAGTTCAAGTGTTACTTTTAGTACGGCCTATAGCTTTTTTTGTTGTTGTTTGGGTATGGCAGAAAGGTCTTAGGGGATAAGGCTGAGTTCTTCTGCCCCAAACTCAGTGTCTGGAACTAGTAGTTACAGTGTTCTGCTAACAAGGCCAAAGTTGTCTATTCAGCTCACATCACTTCACCCCCCAAAAACTTTCACAGCCACATTCATTCTACTTAAGAATTCACAACAGCCCTGGCTGGTGTGGCTCAGTGGTTAGAGTGTCAGCCAGCACATTGGAGGGTCGTGTGTTTTATTCCTGGTCAAGGACATGTACCTGGGTTGCAGGTTTGATCCTGGTCCCAGTCAGGGCGGGTACAGGAGGCAGCCAATCGGTATGTCTCTCTCACATCAATGTTTCTCTCTCTTTCTCTCCTTCTCTCTCTCTCCCTCTCTCCCTCCCTTCCACTCTCTCTAAAAATCAGTGGAAAAAATATCCTCAGGTAAGGATTAACAAAACAACAACAAAAGAATTCCCAACCAGTTCTCATTTCAGTTTGAGAGACAACATGGGGGAGAAGCTGTGCACAGGATGGGAAATAACAGGCTTCAGAGTCTGACATTTGAATTTGCGTCCTTGGTTTAAAAAGTTAATATCCCTGAACTTTGGGTTCCCAGCTATAAAATGGGAATCATGGTGGTATCCACTCACAGAATTACTGAGAATACTAAATGAGATAATGAATGTAGAACCTTCAATCAAGTCCAGCATATTATAAACTCTAGAGGATAAATGTCCTAGTTTCTGTGAAAACTAACAAAACAACAACAACAAAACAGATTACAAGGACTAAAAAGGAAGTAGAAAACCTGTAAACTACAAGAGACTTAAGAGACATAGCAACCAAGTGAATCACATGGCCCTTATGGATCCTGATAAAAACAAACTAAATTTTAAAAAGATTTTAATATAATTACAAAACTTTAAAGGTAAACTAGACTTTTGATGTTATTAAGATATTATTATCATATTTTTAGATATGATAAACGGTTTTAAGGGTTTTTTAAAGAGTCTTTATGGTAGATGTCATTCTAACATACTTGCAGGATAAAATAATCTGGTGGCTGGGATTTCCTTCAAAATAATCCCAGTTTAGAGAAAGAGTAGAGAATGAGTGTGTGTGTGTGTGTGTGTGTGTGTGTGTGTGTGTGTGTGTCTAAGTGAGAGGAATAGATGAAACATGATTGGTCATGTGATCAAGTGATTGTTGAAGTGGTGTGATAAGAATAAGATTTATTATATGATTATCTCATATGTTTTAAAATGTTTTTATGTTTTAAAATTTCCATATAAAACACTTTTAAAAGGAAAAATAGCATATATTTCACATGGGTTATCTGAGTATTAAATGAGATAAAATATGTGAAAGTGCAATACAAAAATGGTATATAATAGGTTTTTGAAAAATGTTAATTTCCCCTCCTTTTCTTTCTCATTCAAAATATAGCCCCCACCCCATTTCTCTCTGAGCTTCTCTCTGTGTCTGTCTCATGCATACATACCACACACACACTCACACACACATGATATTCTGCAAGGGTTGAATTACCCTAGCGGGGATTGTGAAAAACTCAGTTCCTCTGTACGGGAAATAAATGGCTGCTGACTTTAGGTAGTCTTCAGCAGTCTAAGACCTTAGGAATTTAACCTTCTTTCTTTGGGAAGGGAATCAACTCCATAAACAACAACCAATATAAAATGGGAAGCAGGCCCTAGCTGGTTTGGCTCAGTGGTTGAAGCATCAGCCTGTGGACTGAAGGATCCGGGTTCAATTTTGGACAGGGGCACGTGCCTCAGTTGCAGGCTCGATCCCCAACTCCAGGCTGAGGCATGTGTGGGAGGCAACCAATCGATGTGTCTCTTTCACATTGATGTTTCTCTCTCCTTCTCTCTCTTTCCCTCTCTGCTTTCCACTCTCTCTGAAAAGCGATGGAAAAAATATCCTCGGGTGAAGATTAAAATTTTATATATATATGAAAATGGGAAGCAGTGTGCTGTGAGGAGAATTCAAAGTTTGGAAAACTCAGGCAGTGCCTGAGGTGCAGCTCTCAGCCTCTGGGAGGGATCAAGGCCTGTCACAGGGCACCCAATTGCTGCTGCCTGACCACTAAAGGAGAAGTCTAAGCTGAAACCAAATAATATATGTCAATCTTAACCCAATTCCCCAGAAGACCCCCTTTTTAAAAAGAAAACTTACCTGAGAAGGAGTTTCTACTCCCTGAAATTTAGTGCTGGTGGTTTTATCTGTTCGTCGCTCTCCAAAATGGTAAAGGGACTCCTATAGAAATAGGGACAAGCGAATCAAGGTTCATCTGCACTTTCCTCTCCTGTATAAGGCATTCTTAATGTTTCTAAGGGCACATATTTTCTGAGTCAGTGGTCTCTGGGCAGAGGCTACCCAAAATAACAAAATTAAGAAAGCCACATCAAGGCCTGCTCTCATTCAAAGATTCATAAAGATGTGGAATTTTAAAGCTGGGAAGACTTTAGAGGTCATCTGATCTGTCTTCCTACCTTTCCACTTTACAAATGAAGAAGACTGAGACCAAAAGAAAAGCAAGTGAACTGTGATGGAGATGTATGCAGCCAGTGGGTGACACAGAGGCCTGGAGCACAGGTCTCTGGCTCTTAGTCTAAGGCTCTGGTCAATGGCTTCTAAATATTTTACTTTAAAAGCTACAATCCACATTAATAAACCTAGAAGATGCACACACACACACACACAACCAAAACAAAATTTCACAAAACAATACTTACCTTTTGATATTTCCTAACATATTCTATTTTATCAAAAAATTATGAGTCACAACCCAATACATTGATTTTATAACTCACTGATAGATTTTGATGCATAATTTGAAAAGCACTGTCCTTGAACAATGACTTCCAACCTTTTCCATCTCATGGCACATTAATTAATTACCAAAATTCTGCAGCACACCAAAAAATATATTACATTTTTTGCCAATCTGACAAAAAATAGGTATAATTTTGATTCATTCACACTGGACACTATTGTTGTGTGGCTGTTGTCATTTTTTAATTTGACAATCTAAGGAGAAAAGAGGTCAGTGCCCTAACTGAACAGTCAGGTATTGCACATTTTAAACACTCTTGCAGCACACCCACTGGTTGAAAATCACTGTCCTAGAACACTCATTTTCATAACCTGTATGCCTCAAATGAGAAAAAAAGATGGTGGAATTAGAAAGTTGGGCACTGTGTATCACCCACAGCTTCTCTTAACTTTACTGCAGGCCAAATGAGAAGAACTACTAGGAGTGTGTCCTCTAAGTGGTAACTTCTCAGCAAGATCATGGCAGAAAAAAGATTGAGAACCCTACTTTAAAAAGTAGAGAAAGCCCACCCTGTCTTCTCAGAAATTTCCAGAGGACACAGACCCCACAGAGAGTGACTATGCAAAAATAACACTCAGGAGAGACTCTATTCTGAGTTGGAAAACGCCACCTTCTATCTACCTAGCATTTCTAAGGATCAAGGTCCTTTACAGAACTTACCTAATCAATCTTGATATTTTTCTTGTGAAAAAGGAGGAAGTCCCATAATTGGTCAGATTTAAGAGCAGGGCTGGACTAGGTGAGACAGGTGAGGAGTCTTGATTGCTAAGCTTTTTTGCACTTGTGTAACTCCACCTTACTCACCTCACCTTAATCTTGCCCCTATTGGGTCCTCTCTTTATTTAAAATGTTGATATTGTATACATCATAGATTTTTGGGGCATTAATTTTGATGTTTAAAAATATTGCATTAGAATATTATTTATCTTAACTATGAGTGTTTTGGCATTCTCTTAAATTTTGCCCATGGTGAGTGTCTCACTGCCCTCATCCTAGTCCTGACCCAGATTAAGAGGTATCTAGGTCAGTTATAACTAACTCAAGTTAAACAAGGAAGTTTAACTTTCTAATAAACAGCCTCTCCAATTACAATTTCATTAAGTACCATGACTCAAAGAATCATCCTATCCTACCAGTGACATTTCAGAGCTAGCAAATTCAGTCAGTGTACGACAAAGTTTGTAGTAACATCTTTCATACCTCTGCAGTTATAAATAGTTCACAGGCAATAAGGCAGGCACAAACCATAGTTCCAGTTCTTCCTAGAAAAGAAAAGAAGTTAGTTCATGAACCATTGTTCATGGTAGTATGTGGTGTAAAATTTCTCTCAGAAATATTCAGAGGCCATTTCTAATTGATTTTCTTTTGTTCTGAAAGTGCTTATTCAGAAAACTTCAAGTCAGAAATAGCCAAGGCTGTTTCACTACTCTGAGTTTCTAGCAGGAATTCTTCCTAAACAGAATGCAAGTGTGCTTGTGTGTATTGTTCTTGAATCACTTACTACTAGGGACTGCAGTCATTGCCAGAGGCAACCAGCTCTGCTTAGGACTCTAGCACCAAAGAGCTCTTCAGAAATTAAGAACTAATTACAGTGCTTACTTCGGGAGCACATATACTAAAATTAGCATGGTCCCTACACGAAGATGACACACAAATTCGTGAAGTGTTCCATGTTTTTAAAATGGATAAAAGACTTAAATGTAAGTCACGAAACTATAAAAATCCTGGAAGAAAACATAGGCAGTAAAGTCACAGACATCCCACCTAGTGGACTTTTCACTGATACATCTCCTAGCCCAAGAGAAACAAAAGAAAAAATAAACATATGGGACTACACCAACCAAAAAACTTCTGCACAGCAAAAGAAAACAGCCTCAAAATACAAAGGAAACCCATGGTCTGGGAAAATATATTTGCCAAGAATGTATCTGATAAGGGGCTAATTTCCAATGTGTACAAAGAACTCATACTACTCAGCAAGAGGAAGACAAACAATCCAATCAAAAAGTGGGCAAAGGACCTGAATAGACACTTCTCCAAAGAGGACATACAGATGGCCAAGAGACATATGAGAAAATGCTCAACATTGCTAATTATCAGAGAGATGCAAATTAAAACCACAATGAGGTATCACTTCACACCTGTCAGAATGGCTGCCATCAACAAAGCAACAAACCACATGTGCTGGCGAGGGTGTGGGGAAAGGGGAACCCTAGTACACTGTTGGTGGGAATGCAGACTGGTGCAGCCACTATGGAAAACAGTATGAAGCTTCCTCAAAAAATTAAATATGGAACTGCCATTTGACCCAGTGATCCCACTTCTAGGAATATATCCTAAGAATCCTGGAACACTAATCAGAAAGAATATATGCACCCCTATGTTCATAGCAACACAATTTACAATAACTAAGATCTGGAAACAGCCCAAGTGCCCATCAGTAGATCAGTGGATAAAAATGTTGTGGGACATATACACCATGGAATACTACGCAGCTGTAAAGAGGAAAGATCTCATACTATTTGGGACAGTATGGAAGAACCTGGAGAATATTGTGCTAAGTGAAATAAGCCAGTCAGAGAAAGACAAATATCACATGATCTCACTTATATGTGGAGTCTAAAGAACTTAATAAGCTGATGAACAGAATAGATTCAATGATATGGAAGCATAGATGAGACTGACAAATGTCAGAGGGATGGAGGAGGGCGGGTGGGTGGAGGGGGAGAGAGTAACCAAAGAATTTATATGCATATATGCACATCCCAAGGACAATGGTGGGGAGAGGGACTGGGGAGAGGGAGGGGGTTGGGGTGGAATGGGTCACAGGGGAGAAAAGGGATATCTGTAATATTTTAAACAAAAATAAAATTAAAAAATAAATAAAATATATATGTGTTATTATAAACTCATAAATTTAAACATAGTTGAACTATTTATATCCATTGTAGTAATTATTCTTACTGATGTTAAGTATTTCTCATTTTTGGCCAAGTTAGCTCTTGAGGTCTTCTATACGATGCTAGTAGTCTTTTATGCCTTTCTTGCTATCTGATATGACAAAGTTTTCTAAATTCATACTACATATCATGCATGGAATTGGCCACTTCCCCAAGGAATCTTGGTTCCTTTTAGTGAAAAGTGGTATTAGAACCCACGCTCTCATGTTAGGGGTGTTCATTGCTACTGGCTGTCCCCTAATTATCCCAAGATTATAAATCTTTTATATAGTTTTCTTGTTTGAATTGCGATACAAGCTAAGGTCCATACCATATTATTACTTGTTATATATGTTGAGTCATTGGGGAGAAAAAGGGACATCTGTAACATTTTGAACAAAAAATAAATAAATAAATAAATAAATAAATAAATAAAATAAAAAGAACTAATTACATACCCTGTTTTTCTGACTAACATCAAAAAAAGAATATGGTTAGAACCCAAAATAGAGTAAGGGACTGAAAACCTATTTGAAGAAATAGTGACTGAGGACTTCCCAAATCAGGCAAAGAAAATAGACAAAAAGTGGAGGAACTTCAGAGTCCCAAAAAGGTGAATCCAAAATGACCCACACCAAGGCATGTCGTAATTAAAATGCCAAAGTATAAAGACAAAGGGAGAATTTTAAAAACAGCAAGACAAAAACAGTTAGTTACCTATAAGCCAGCTCCCATAAGACTGTCAGCTGACTTCTCAAAGAAACTTTGCAGGCCAGAAGGGATTTGCACAAAATATTTAAAGTGACAGAAAGCAAGAACCTACAACCTATACTAGTTTACCAAGCAAGGCTATCATTTGGAATTGAAGGAGAGATAAGGAGCTTACAAGAAAAGAAAAAGCTAAAAGAGTTCATCACCACCAAATCAGTAATAAATGTTAAAGGGACTTCTTTAAGAAAAAGGACATAAAAGGTAAAAATACGAATAGCACAATGGCAATAACTACATACCTATCAGTAATTAAGTGTAAATGGTTTAGATGCTCCAATCCTTCTATCAAATGACATAGGGTGGCCCTGACTGGTGTGACTCAGTGGTTAGAGCGTCGGCCCATAGACTGAAGGGTGGCAGGTTCAGTTTTCTGTCAAGGGCATGTATCTGGGTTTCAGGTTTGAGCCCTGGCCCAAGTTAGTGCGCACACAGAAGGCAACCAATCGATGTGTCTCTCTCATATCAATGTTTCTTCCTCTCCCTCCTCCCTCCCTTATGCTCTGTCTATAAAATCAATGGAAAAATATCCTCGGATGAGGATTAACAACAACAACAACAAATAGGCTTAGGGCGGCCGAGTGAATAAGAAAACTAGGCTCATACATTTGTTGCCTGCAAGAGATTCACTTCAGATCCACAGACACACACAGACTGAGAGTAATAGACGGAAAAAGATATTTCGTGGAAATGGAAATGGAAAAAAAGCTGGGGGAACAATACTTATATCAGACAAAATAGACTTTAAAACAAAGGCTATAACAGGAGATAAAGAAGGTCATTACATAATGATAAAGAGTTCAATCCAACAAGAAGATATAACCCTTGTAAGTACTTATGCACCTAACATAAGAGCACCTAAACATATAAAGCAGATATTGATGGACAAAAAGGGAGAGACTGACAGTAATATGTAATTTTAGGGGACTTTAACACCCCATTGACATCAATTCACAGTCTATCCAGTCAGAAATCAACAAGGAAACAGCATCTTTAAATGACACATTATACCAGATAGATTTAATTGATATTTTAAAGCATTTCACCTCCAAACAGAAGAATACACATTCTTTTCAAGAGCACATAGAGCATTTTCCTGGATTGATCACATGTTAGGCCACAAAACAAGTCTCAATAAATTTAATGAGATTAAAATCATATCAAGCACCTTCTCCAATCAAAATGACATAAAACTAGAAATCAATTACAAGAAGAAAACTGAAAAACACACAAACACATGGAGGCAAAATAACATGTCCCTAAACAATAAAGCGTTAACAATGAGATCAAGGAAGTAATCAAAAGATACCTTGAGACACATGAAAGTGAAAACATGACCTAAAATCTATGGAACACAATGGAAGCAGTTCTAAGAGGGAAATTCATAACAGTACAGGAGTACCTCAAGAAACATCTCAAATAAACAATCTAACCTTGCACCTATAGGAACTAGAAAAAGTAGAACAAGCAAAACCAAAAGTGAGTAGAAGGCAGGAAATAATAAAGATCAGAGCAGAAATAAGTGAGATAGAGTATTAAAAATAACAGAAGCCCGGCTGGCGTGGCTCAGAGGTTGAGCATTGACCTAGGATCCAGGAGATTGCAGTTCGATTCTGGTCAGGGCACACACCTGGGATGTGGGCTTGATCCCCAGTCGGGGGCGTGCAGGAGGCAATCGACCAATGACTCTCTCATCATTGATGTTTCTATTTCTCTCTCCCTCTCCCTTCCTCTCTCTGAAATCAATAAAAACATATTTTAAAAAACCCCCACAAAAAACAGAAAAGATCAATGAACCAAGAGCTAGTTCTTCAAAATAATAAACAAAAGTGATAAACCTTTAACCAGACTCATCAAGAAAAAGAGAGAGAGGGCCCAAATAAAAAAATCAGAAAGGAAAGAGAAGTTGCAACTGATATGAGAGAAATACAAAGGATTATAAAAAAATACTATAAATAATTATATGTCAACATATTGAACAATCTGGAAGAAATTAATACATTCCTAGAAACATACAATCTTCCGAGACTGAATCAGGAAGAAACAGAAAATCTGAACAGATTGAAAACTGCTAATAAAATAGAATCAGTAACCCAAAAACATATACTAAACAAAAGCCTTGGATCAGATGGCTTCACAGGTGAATTTTACTGATGATTCAAAAAATTAACATATTCTTTTCTAACTAGTCCAAAAAATTGAAGAGAGGGAAGGCCCTGAACTCATTTTACAAAGCCAGCTTTATCTTGATACCATAGCCAGACAAAACACTACAAAAAATTAAAATTATAGGCCAATATTCCTGATGAACATAAATCAAAAATCCAAAACAAAATATTAGCAAACTAAATTCAGCAATACAATAAAAAAGCCATACACCATGATCAAATGGAGTTTATTTCTGTGATGCAAGGTTGGTTCAATACTCACAAATTAAATAATGTTATACTCCACATAAACAAAATGAAGGATCAAAATCATATGAACATCAGTAGATGCAGAAAAGCAGTTTGAAAAAATCCAATATCCAGTAATGATAATAACTTTCAGAAGAG